ATGGCTGGAATCAGTTATCTTAACATAAGAAAATATAAATGCTATGATTTTTCCTTTATGTTTTAATTCCACATAGAAATGTAATGAGCTCTGGATTATACAGAAGAGGATTGTTTCAGTGACCTGGGAAGGTGAGTTAGCTGAGTTAGGTGAACTTGCTTCTAGAACTGAGGAAAAAGGAGTCCAGGACAAGCACGCAGGGGGTGTATAAATGTGTTTGTGTCATTACATTGCAAAGCCACATAGGACGGCCATTGGCCAGGTCACTGTGTGTTGCGTGTGTCTGTCACTTCCTCTGATAGGGATGAACTGATAACGGAATGTAACAGGGTTGGAAATCCCACATCACGGAACTTTTCCTGTGACACTATAGAATACTCACACTTTTCTCTCCCCACCCAGTCACTGATTTGTGTAGCAATATGCGGCAAACACTTAAAGGACTTTAGTCCAAAGCCATCTGTTCTTCACACTGACTTCTTTGACATATCTAATAGTTTAGCACAGTGCCTACTCTGCCAGCCAACCAGATTTTGGGCTTTTACTTTGCCAAACTCTTTGGGGGATATGATATGAAAAAAGTATTTAGAACATGCCCTCTATCTCCCTATAGCTACAGTCTTGTGGTAGAAAAGTCTCACTAAGATGCCATGGAGCACTTCTAAGCACACAGCACAGCTGCTAAGCCTGAAACTGCCGGTTTTTATTTATAAAATGCTTGTATAAATGCTTATATGGTTGTCACTGACTCAGGCTGCAGTTTTGGAGATAATTCAATCCAAAGCAGAGACAATAATCCTGAGAACAGGCCATGTGGTTTTCAGTGATCTGTGGGCAAGAGGGGAAGGAGTCAGTTACCTGCTGATGTGCACACGGTACACTAAGTGGAGGAAAGCATTCGGGGACAAAAGTCTGCTGTGTGCAGCACTCGAGTGGATGTATCAGTCACAGGCTAAAATGCTAGGCCTTGTTCAACCTTCAAACTGCTCGGCAAAGGAGAGCCAACGTGCACCGAAGTGGAGGTTCCTGGGAACTCACCGCTGATGGGGTTGGTGCAGCCAGCACACTTCTTGGCATACAAGTCACAGAAGCAGCTCAGGCAGTAGGCGAACTCATCCCGAGCTGTGAAGCGCTGGCCGGACAGCTGCTTCTTGCAGGCGGTGCACACAAAGCACTCCTTGTGCCACGGCTGCTCCCGGTAAGTGACCCCTCCCGTGGTGATGGGCTGCAGGAGCCAAGTGGGCACAGTTAGAGTGGCGTCTGCTCTTTGCAAACGTCCTCAGTCTCGGCTGTCGCCACTGGGCAACACAAGATCCTTATCCAGAAAACGTCCAGTTTGTCAAAAGTCACCATGAAACTGCAAACTTCATGGTCACCCTTCGTTTCCCCTCCACACACTTACACTCCAGTGCCGTAGCCCCTGGCTTCCCGTTAGTGAAACTGGCCCTTGGGTGTCTGCCCTGCACCCTTCACAGGGATGCTGGGGAATCTAAGGAGCAGGTGTCAGCAGGGCGACACTGCCTCCCTAGCAGGGCAGCAGGGCAGTGGGGGATTACTCGGAGACTCGGGTTCAAATCCTAACCATAATCCTTACTGGCCCTGCGGCTGGGGGCAAGTCATGGTGAGAGACCTCTGCACCTCGGTTTCCTCACCCACGAAATGTGAGGGATGAGGCTAAAGGAGCACACAGCAGGGGGGAAAATGGACACGCTAGAGGAGACAGGAGAGAAAGGCTGGACTCTGCTGGACTCTGGGACAGGCAACAGGGGACATTTTGGCCCAGGGTAACTAGGCACAGGCAGCAGTGTTGGGGACATTCCTCCATGGACCAAAGGCAAGGGCAGAGGTCCTGACGATGGAACAGGGAAGTCCGGCAGCAGCCAAACTGGGTCTGCACCAAGTTCTACCACTGGTGCTGCCCGGGGCCAAGGTGGCACAAATGCTAAGATGCTGAGACCCTAGAGGCTAGGACACAAATGGAGTCACGTGTGTATAAGAATAAGGGGACGGGGCAGGTGGGAGTGAGATGGCTTCCTGCAGGCACGTGGCTCCTTTTCTTTCTCTAACCTCACAGCCATGACAAAATCGAACGGACAAGTTCAAGAAACGGTCTGTCCATGAGGCAGACCTTCTCTACTTGCCTTTTCTTCTGACATCCCGCCTCCCCTTCCCTCTCTCTCTGCTTCTCTCTCTAGCACTT